AGTTAACACAAAACATCAAGGTATCTTTGATGTGGATATAGAAAGGTTTGCATACAACGTCCGGGTAACTCTGATGTAAGACCAAGAGACTCTAAACAAAGTATGTTCATCTAGGTAATTCAAGTCTAATGTCGATTTAATTGTTAATTAATTACATTTAACTTTAACGATTTGAAAATAGCATTCAAGCGTGAGTTCAAAATTGTTCGAATTAGTGAGGTGGCTTAAAATTTATTTTATAAGTAAATATTTAAAAATTAGTAAGTGACCTGATATATTTTTATTAAAGATATTCTTAACTCGAGATGAAAAAAAATAAAACTGAAATCTCGGTATCATTTTTTTTTCTGTCAATCTTGACAACCTAGAAAAACTCAGGAGTCGACCACAAGTTTAATAAAAATTAGCCGCCCCTGGTATACATCACCTCTCTATATCAGACTCGACAATCATGTGATTGAATATAGTTTTTGAAACGATCATGTTATAAAATGAAAGAAAAACAGGTGATCTATTCGTGACAAGTTGTCACGTGTATCTACCTAGATTTTTCGTAGCGGTACTATATTATTCTTGATTTCGTTATCAAAGTAATTATTAAATGTATTTTAATTGAAACTTCAATCGAAACAATATATATAGTTTTCCTTTTCTGCCAAATAATTCATTGATATATACAGCTTTGAAATTATTAGCAGTTAAATATAGCGGATTTTTACTTGCCCTGAATTGATGTGTGTGATTTCACATTTTTTAATCGGCAAGTGCGAACATATGAATGAAATAAATAAAAAGGACGAGAATTCATTATTAACGTTCAGTAAAAATACTAAAGGGTTAGACCCCGGTCGAGAATCGTTCTGTGTGGGGGAAATAACGCTGTTTCGGGTTTAGAAATTCCGTCGAGTACGTAGAACCAGCGTTGCGTTACCACGATGTTATTATCGAATTTTGTTTTTTTTAATTTTATTTCTATGTTTTCTTTATATTTACCAACTACTGGATTCGATTGTAAAATATTTTTTTAGTTTGATGAGTATACAGTGTCACTATAGGCAGGCTTTATATTTTTTGAAATAAAAGTTGTTCTCTCTCCATTACATGCCCCACGCACACATGTTAACGGACACAATACACTTTGCGAATCGGTTAAAATATAAAATTTAATTAAACCGTAAGATGACATTTTCGCTAGAACAGTCGTCAGCGTATCGTCTTCCGCCCGTTCGATTCGCTCGACATGGAAAAAACAACAATAATAATAATAATCGGGGTTCGAGTCTTTGCTTGCTTTTGTTATTTTTGTGTGTAGCGTACGAAATAAATTAATTTCTCGATGACTTAATTTCAAATCGAAAATATGAATGCGCATGTTTTTGCGTAATACATAGATCTTGGAGGAAAGTGCTTATTTTGTATACGTTAACAAGTGATTCAAAATTAAAAAACTATATGCACATTTTTTACCTACCGAAAAATTAAAATATTAGTGCAAACGTATGTATCCAACTTACTTGCAACGTACATGTTCATAATTATTTGTTATTTTTCAAACGTTTAATTCAGGTAATATACTTATAAACATATTAAATGCATAGATTTAGGTTTTTTTTTTTTTTTTTTGGCGCGTATCTGAAGCGCTTGTTATCGCGTTTTCAAGTCTCGAAGTCTGGCTGTAACGGTGATAATAATAATTGTAATAATCGTTTCGTCGCTATGCCGTAAAAGAACGTTCGTATCGACCGGGCGGGAATCGGAATTCTCGGGCGGACGAGTCGCATTACGATAACATTATTGCCCACGATGAAATTTGACCGAATGCACATTCCTGCCGCGGGTGTAATGTACCGGGCACATGTTCGTCGCGACGAGCATCGAGACGATTCCCAGCAGGGACCGTTCGCCCGACGTTTCGTTGCACCGGGGCATGGACGTGCGAAGTTCCTACATGTCCGGCGAATCCCTTCGGTCGAGTCCCAATCATTTTTATTTTTTTTTCCTCGTCAAATACTCAAAACCCGTTCAACCGTTCTTGTGGAATTCGTGCGAATCTCCCGGGCTGGGCATTGAACAAGTTAACAAGTTAAAGTCGAGCGATAAACGAAACGGGTCTTAACTTGTTAACGTTGTTTCTTATTACGCACAAGTTTCGGTCGTTTTGTTGTTAACTTAATTTCCACTTGCTTGCCCTCGAGTTTACTCAAAAGGGGCGTGAATTATTTATTCAACTGTCCCGATGAAATTAATTCCTCCGGGTTCCCGTCGCCATCGGAGCTTATTATAATATCTGTTGACTCGTTGTTGAAGGATTACAACTGATAAAATTCGTTCTTAAAAGTTATAATTGCGTTGTGAAAATAAAAAATGTCATTCGACTGGGCGGCACGTGTTTGTTCTCTTGGAAAATAATTAATATAAAACGTAAAAAATTGAATTACGAGCGTTCGAAATATTAAGGAGCTGAAAGCATAAGATATAAATTGAATTTATCCTTTGAACGAATAAATTCCGTTCGGTCTGTACGGCGTAGGATTCGTATCGCTTACCAACATCGTAAGACGCGTACCGTTCGCGTACGGTAGTTAACCGATTCCGATCAGGGGCGTAATTAGACTTACTTCTAGGGGGGGGGGGGACTCAAATTTTTTCTTTAATTCAAGCTCAAAATGTACAAGTAAAATTGCTGGTAATATTCAAATCAGGGGAATTCTTAATAATTGTGGTTTTTCTTTTTAAATCTAATGCCAGATTCACTTTATTCCATTTTCGTGTAATTCTTTTTAACGCCTGTGTGTGTGTTTGAGAGTTACGCTTGTGTTTTATTTGATTTTTCACCAAGTATGGACTCGACAATTGGCCCAGTTCAGTATTCACAGCCACGCGTGATTTGATTTCGTTATATTCGTAAAATGATCAACATCAAAAAAATTTGAAATGTGTGTTTCACATATAATCGATTCCTTAAATACGGTGTTCGCCCCATTCGCCCTCCCCCATCCCACATTAAATACGAACCTGATTCGGGTGGAAACAACATCAACACCCGGTCCGGCAAACGGTCGTACGGGTATTACGACCGCCGGGGCGAGGATCAACGCAAAAATCGACGGCACGTGCCCCCGGGGAAATTGCTCGTACCGGCGCACAGTGGGCGAAATATCGATTATAGGTGGACAAAAATAAAATTTTCACATATCGTATAATTACTTAATAAATTTATATTTTGTTTATAAGATTACTATAGACAAAATTATCAGTAAAATTTAAGAGATAATGCTATTTAATGAGCTTCAAGTTGTAAACAATTTTTGCAATAAGTAAATAATTGGTCTGTTGTACAATATTTTACGTTATTTGCGTTTGACTTTTCGAGTGGTAAGAGTCATTAGATTGAAATATTGTATATTTTATTTACTATGAAGGATACTAAAGAAGGTATGTTTAAGTCAATTTCTTGTATTAATAAATTTAACTACCCGTTTGATAGTATTACGAGTATAAATGACCAATACAACATTTTACGTTTAATTTTAAAAATTTTAATTTTAATGGTAGTTTAAAAAAAATCGTCAAATCTGACCTCTGCAAATACTATGCTAGATCATTCTAAAGTTCATAAAATTTAACTGTACATATATTTTATTTGCTTTTCTCTGCGTCTATTAAAATAATAATTATTTTTGTTAGGTGTTATGCGTAGAGAATTATTTGAATTTTTAAGAAAAAATGGAAATATTAGACCACTGAACGCCCAATCTCGAAAAATCATTATTGAATATATAGAATATAAGCATTTGAAAAGTATGCTATGGACACGGCAAAACTTTACATAGAACATTATAACTGGTACTATATGCCGGCTAGTGTTTATATAATCTTATTACATGGTGCTGATGTAATAAAACATTGCTTACTACCAATTGGAGAATTATCAGAGGAAGCTTCGGAAGCGAGAAATAAGCAGTATAAATCTTTTCGAGAACATTTCACTCGGAAAACTAGTCGAATTGATACAAATATTGATCTTCTTCATCGTTTAATTGTTACATCTGACCCGGTCATATCATCAATACGGCCATATCCTTCTAAAAAAATGGTATTATTATCCTCGGAAGTATTAACATTATTAACTTGTTCGGATCCAATTACACCCGAAAAAAACGTTGTTATTACCGACCTAGATTCTGAATAAAATAATGTATTTGATGTTAAATTTGTTTAATATATAGCTAATAAGTTATAAAAAAATGTTAAATTTGATTCAAGTCTAGTACTTTTACGTTATGTAAACATTAAAACTTGTAAAATAGGTATATTACATATTTGTTATTTTTTTCTACGTATTTTCAAAATTCCGCCCACTGTGCGGCGCGCCTAAAACGGTACCGAACCGCGTCGGAACTTTGTTCGTCCGTACGCGTTTCGAGTAAGATACCGAGATGACGACCAGAACCGCGTTTAACGGGGGACAAGGTAGGGGCGGAAAATTGTTGAGCGCATCAACATAAGATAAAAAAATGTATGATCATAATCGTTCTTGTACGACCCCGTATAACTGCATTGCATATTATTTCTGTTACGTGTATTATTCCTTTTAATAATTCTAATTTTCTTGATTCACCCCGGAGCGGCTACACAGCTTAACGCGGCACTGCACACGACGGAATTGTTCATTATCATTGCAGTTGACCACCACCGGATATGCACCGCAACGCACACGCACACTAACGCGCGTTCGATCATGCTTACACGCGCGCACGTTTATACACGCACGCACGCACACACACACACACACACACACACAAACACATTTTACAAGCACACACAAACACACACACACACATTTATACAAGCACACACAAACACACACATACACATTTATACAAGCACACACAAACACACACATACACACACCCGCACAAGCGCGCGCGCACGCGCACCTTCCACCAGTGGCGGCGGTGCGCACGGAGAGAGACGATGCGCAGCGACGGCGGCGGCGGCGGCGGCGATTGTTAGTGTTCGCCAGCCGTAGCGGCTTCTATCGCGACGTTTAGTAGCCGTTGTCACGTGCCCCGTGTCTGTCCGTCCGTCCGTCCGTCCGTCGGCGGTATCGCGTCCGATAGCATTTGCACTTGTAGAGCCGTTCGTTTCGCGTTCATCTCGCGTCGAAAATCGTCTCGTTTTTTTTCGTTTCTTTTTCCGGGACCGTCTCCCGACAAACTCATCATCGTACGTCGTACGCGCGCAAAGTAACGTTTCACCCCCCTTCCCTTCCCCAATCGCTTTTGACGACATACCGTTTCCGTCCGACACGTAACGCGAGTTGACCGACGACCACGAGGTAAACGGCGACACGGAAATCATGAAGTCGCGTCCGCCGCAGTGGTTCCGACTCGGCCGGAGCACGCTGATGATCGTACTGTTGTGCTTGGTCGTGCTGCAGATCGTGTCCGACACAGGTAAGAACGATAATACTTTTGACGATAGAACCCGCGGCGCGTGTGCACGTTACAGTTTTTCGTTACTAACGCGTTGACGAATGTCCGCGTTACGTCGAAAACCGATACGACACTCGACAGGCGTGCGTACGGGGGGGTGCCGGATATGCCCGGGAACCTCCCTTCCCCGAAATGTTGTAAATGGGGCCCGACGATTAAAGTCTAAGCGTATATTTGAACTGGTGTTGCTCGAGTCGAATGTAATTTATCCTGAAACATTCGATAAAAAAATAAACGATGTTCCTTCGCAGGAAAAATAAGCCTACGTTTTCTAAACAACCGTACGAAAAATGTTGCGATAACGTAAAAACTACAATCGAACAAAAACATAGATGTCATAAATAGTTGAAGGTGCCTGAGTAAAATAAAAGCGGTTCGATGAAAACATATTCATCGGGACCAATGTGTTCCGCAACGTTGATTAAAAATAATAAAAGTTTTGTTTATTTAACCGTTTATGTAATACACGTTCCATTAGGTTAGGGCCCAAAAGTGTTGTAGGCACCGCTTGAAATACAGATGTGCGCGCGCTTACGCGTCCGTCGAATTATGCGTCCCAAATTTTTAGACGACGACGTGTCGAATCGTCGCTGAGCAATCGTGTCGATCAATGATCGATTCAAACAGAGTTTGTATTTCCACGCGCGCTACGTCCGTACGATTACCGTCGACAACCGATGTGGATCAGAGACGGATGCTGTTGTGCGACGATCGTCGCGTCACGATCTCGATCGCAGTACTGATTTCGAATCGTGAGGCGATCGGCACGACAACGATCCGAATAAAAATTACGATCGTAATAACGATGACATTATTGACGACGTTTCGAAACGCTAGGCCCCGTCTGATTGCGTCGCGCACGCGGGCGGACAACGATGGAAAGCACTCGACAATCGATGTTCGCGTTTCCATCGGTGACCATCCGTTCTGGCGATTATCAACCCGTCAGCGCCACCCCGTTCGGTGTTACGCGGCGATCTGCACGCGTAACGCCTCCATGTTGTTGCACGCGCGTAACGATATACAACTCTTTCGACGGACTTCAATTGTGTCGTGCTTTTCCTACCCCCGGTAAAAACTGTACTTAGTGGGGGTAGATGCAAGTCTAACAACACTGATATCGTTAACCGCGCGCCCGGGTCCTGTAAGTCTCCACTCGTGTTCACTGCGCGCGTCCAAATAAGATCGTTTTGCTGTGTTCATAAGCTATTGCGTGTCATTTCGAACGTGACGCGATATTGGCCAATAAATTTATTATGCGCGTGGCCTGACCCGCGGCTGCGACGAAATTACCGAGATTAACGGGCGATTATCAGAAACATTAATGGATCACGCGCGATATCGTATTCAGTCGGCGGCACGTCGTGTCTGCAGTTCGGGGTGGTACGTCCATTTGAATCCTACCGGATTGGTTTTGTTTACGAAACGAGAATGTGAGAACAACAACTTATCGGCAACTGACCCTACTGGTTTTTTCGATTCTTTCCACTATTACGCAGGGTAGTTTTATCAGAGTTACACGGTACCAACCAAGGTTTTTAAAGCGGTCGAAAGATAATATGCTTGATTTGGTTTTTTTTTTTTGTTATGATTATCTATAAAATTGTTCGGGAATCAATAACAATCTAGTTCAACCTATAACCGATTAATCGATTTTCAAACGGATTTCAACATTTAATGCAATATTTCGGGATTTTTTTCCTCTTCGAAATTGTGTACAAAAAGTAAAAATAATGAAAAAAAAAATAGCACATTGTTTTGAAAACTATTGTTCTATAATTTCAGTTAGAATATAAAATAATCGTTCTGTGAGTAAGCTTCACTAAGAACTGTTATCATTTTACCGAAAACCACTTAAATACTAAATTAAATGATAAATAGGTATTTGGTCTAAAATGTTACTAGATGTCCGATGTACAACGAAACGGTACACAATCATTACTATAGATGAACATGATCAATGGTCAATCAAGCAATAAACGTTATTTCTTGCCATGCTTTGAGCGGATAGGTTCGAGTCCAGTGAATTATTCCATCGTAAAAAGTGACAAACGATCGATTTGGATCTATTTTTTATGACTGTAACCATTTTAAGATTATTATACGTGATGTGACGCGAGTATAAACGGTAACGGAAAGAGTAGAACGGACATTTCAACATGAAATAATGTATCAAGTTAATTTTCTGTGCTTGTTTAAAATAATCATAATTTTGAATAAATAAGTCAAAGATTTTATCTTAAAAAACAAAAAATGACTTTTCTATAAAAATAAATTGTCAACAATTTATTTTAAATTTATGATACTGTTGATATAAATGATTAGCAACAACGTCAAACGTAAATCGAATTTATTTTCACTACTAACGTTAATTCTAAAATGCAGAACTCAATAAAGTTTATTTAAGCAAATTGCCTTTCAACTTTAAACTTTTAACTTCAATAATTACAAAGATTTAATAGTATTTTTGTCTTTGTGTACTAATTTTCAATGTATTGATGCTAAGAAAATGTCGAACATTAATTACAAAATAGATTGATGAATTTCGATGGACCCATTGCAATGAATACAATTTAATTATTTCGTATAGAATTAGGAAAAACACCAATAGACGAAAAAATTCGTTTAATAACTATTTGATGTTTAATATTGTTTCTATGGTTTTAACTTAATACTTGTCAACCGATTTTTTTGGAAATTAAAAAGTATTCAACGATTTCTAACTGAACATTTCACGGGGAACATTCGACATTAATTAAAAGTTGTTTCGTTGTTATTATTCTCAGTTTATCACAACTTTATAACGATAATGTATTTATGTATATACGGTATAACTGTACTTTTTTCCACGAAAAAATTCTTATTGCTGTCGTGTCTTTGACGTGATACCTTTTTATTCATTTTCATTTTAAAAATGTAATAACTTCGTTAACAACAGATGTTATTGACAATGTTTATCGCGTTGCTGGTATAATAATGGACGAATAAATCGATAGATGCAAGAGCGTTTCGATGGCTATTACGTATTCGTACATTTTTGTCGGAAAAATGACGGATTTTATGTGCGCATATCCGAAGACAGAATCAATATACTTCGATCCCGTGTAACATTTTAAGCTCTAAAAATGTAAAACACATTCGACGGGTTCTGCTGATAGTTAGTGTATTGGAATAAAATATGCACAGGATTTCCATAACTATCCCGGCTACTAACGTTACTCAAAAACAGTGTCGCACCGATAATAACCGTTTACAAACAGTAATAAACCATAAGAGCACTGTACACATAATTCTTTCACAATCGATCATCGCATCCGAATACATCGGCCGGAACGAGCGCTGCATACGCCTAGAAACATTAATCCGATTAATGTTCTCCATAAAATATAATAACACGCTCGTGCGCAACGTTGTTCGATAGGCCACGAATAATGATTAAATACTAATAACAATTAGATTGCATAGGTCTACCGACGAACGTGATGAAACGGCCGACGAATCTAACCGATAGAGGAGAGACGCTAACGCGTCTATTTACAAGACCTTAAGTCATTTTATACACAAGTGTGCGCGAGTTCAAATACACGAACGTCAACGCTGCGTGAAACGTTTTTCCAGTTGCTGTATTTAACAGGCTTGAGACGAGTCGGTAAAAAATGAACTCTTAAATAAAAAAAAAAAGAAAAAGAAGCTGGTCAAGAACACATAATAAATATAAGCTCCTACGAATGTAACTGTTTAACGTGTGCACGTGAGCATACGGGTGAGTCACATACAGTCGAGCGCATCAGTAAAAGCACACCATGTTGTGTGGCCGGTAGTTAAGCATTTATACGTTGCACGTCACTAAATAGAATGTTTAAACAATTTCACAGCCTTGAAAAAACCGAAGCCCTGGGATCCTTTTAACGTGTAGGAACTATGGACTTCAACCCACTTATATAGCCCCTTTTAATTTAGTCCCGATTAAGCGAATTAAGAAATAAAAAAATAAAATACGAATATCGAATTAATAACAATTACACGCGTGATGCAATTTGTTTTTTTTCTTTTTTATTATCATTATTAATTTAACCAGTGCTGAGCAAACATACCCCCTGAAAGACGAATAAATTATACGCACAGTACGTCAATACTTTACTTACAGTGTACGCTGTGAGCAACGTTGTCGTATACCGCCCAAGTCTCGAGTGTCATAAAACGCGTTTAAGCTGAATAAAACATTAGCAAAAATTACACCCGTTTTATTTGTACATCAGAATTACCTTTGATCGTCGTCTCGCCGTAAAGGACAACAAAAGTTTTTCTCCTAATAAGGCTCATCATTTTTTTCACCATCTCCTCGCCCCTCTCCCGTACGAACACGGTACGCACACTTCATATGGAATGATGAATTAACTCGTCGCTTTCGAAAGGAGTGCGCGACGTTAATAATTTTGTTAACTTTGTCCGCGTTTGTTTTTCGAATCAGCTATTTCCGTCCAGAACAATATCACCGTCGCGCATATAAATCTTGCTTTATTCAATGCGATATTTCATAACGACAATAGTAATATTAATAATAGCGTATTTATGCATGTAGATAGATGTTCGCGCACAGTGTCCGAGGCGAATACATCCCATTAGAAGTAGGCCATAATGCCACGCAGTGTGCCATTACCATACACATTAATTGTCCTACGACCTTTCCAGCCCGTTGGACAACGGACTTTATTGGTAATCCGGGTTTGATGATCCATTTAGTATTGTTTTGTCCGTGATGTATGCTACGAGCCGGAAAAATGCTATTAGTCTATAATAAAATTGCATTATAAATATATTATCCTTATTATCATTATGATTACTATCATTATTATCATCATCATCATCATCATTATTATTATTTTACATTGGATTTCTCTTAACGTTTCCATGATACACCACGATTGAAGGAAACCCAACAAAGAATATAAAACATTGTT